CCAAAAAGACCAGCTGAAAACTAAACCTATCACTTGATTAAATATGAAGTGACAGCATTTTCAAGAGGCTAAATCTCTTTAAACTATGAATCTAAAAGATTTTTTTTTCCATTTACCTTTCATTGATGGAATTTATGTCAATTAACAGTTTCATTTAAACGTCAAAACCTAAAATGCCATAAAATTTTTATTTGTGGTTAACTTTCACAAAACTATTCGATATAACAATGACAAAAGCCGAAGAAAACTCTAGAATCAAGCTCATAAAACCCCAAAGTTTCACATAATATTATTTTCCCTGTTATATTTTAATCAAATAGAATTTGCATAATATCATGCTGACGTCAAGAATTAAATGATTATTGCATACAATTTTCTATTTCAGTGAACCTTAGAAGAAAACTAGTAAAATGACGCTTCTACTTCTAATGATATAATATAGCATAAATGTACATAACATTCATCCGCATCGATAGAACTTAATTTCAACTGAATCTTACAAAAGCGCCATGCTGCCAATGTTCAGGCTAAAATATTTTAAAACTGCCATCCGTTGTCAATGTTCAGGCTAAAATATTTCAAAACAGAAATCAGTTGTCAATGTTCAGGCTAAAATATTTCAAAGTTAGTTTTTGCTCCAGACCAATCTTTTGAGAGATTTCTTGACTAATATACACACATGATTTCCTGCTCAGGATTTAAAAAAAAAAAAGTTGAGAACACTGGTTCTAGCCACATCCATTTTTACATCAATTGATGGACTTGAAAAAAGGAAAATTTGGGCTAAGCAGGTCTTCTTAATTTGGCAATGAGTCATTTACAATATGATAAAATACATCACTATGTAGAAATAAATCTGTACAAATCAAAACATATTTTTTAAAATTTGCAAATTATAAATAACACTATAAACTGATTTATATGTCATCTACAGTTCATATGTATATGCATGTTATCAATGTACATCAAGTTCAAGAGGCCGTAAAATGGAAAATCATCTTGACATAAGCAAAAAAAAATGAAATCATAACATCAGGAAAGGAATCTAAGCTAATTAAGGTAAGGTAACTACAGGGTTTGATTTTCTCGACCCAAGATATGTCATTGTTGGAAAAAAAGGTCCATACCAGTAAAAATCTTTGATATGACCACAATGGCAGAGCCCTTTTTCAGTACAAAAATAAGAACAAAGTTTCAGAAAACTTAGATATGCATAGTTGTAGGTAACAGTTTACAAAATTAGGATTTCTTAAGTGGCTCCAGTCAGAAGCTGCAGATAAGTTCTTTGGCGACTGCATATTATATAGTAATTTTTATCAATTCATCTCATTTACAATTGTTCATACCCAGCAAAAAGCAGCACAGCAAATACAAATCAAAATTTCTGTTCACTGCAGGAGATACAGCAGGTATTCATTAACTGTTGGACGTGGTTCCCTCACGATAACTAAAGGTTTAAAGAAGGAACAAAACCCAAGTTTCAAATATGGCGTCGGGGGCCTAGTGGTCAGGCTATCGGACTTGTAATCGTGAGGTTGTGGATTCCAGGGTTCGAGCCGCGGGCCCGACGTTGTGTCCTTGGGAAAGGGACTTTACACGAATTTTCCACACTTCACCCAGGTGAAAATGGGTACCCAGCTATAGACAGTGAAAGACCTTGTCAGTTTGTTAGTGTCCGAGCGCTTAACCAGCTGCTTGCACTGTATGCTTCCCACGAAGCTGAGAATGTTTCTGAGTGTTCTATGGTCTACTGGGGTAATAATATAGTGTAAAGCGCATAGAGCCTGCTTTCGAGTGGGGACATGCGCTATACAAATGCTATTTATGATTTATTATTAAAGATTAAAACAAAAATGGAGAGGGATGAACTGAAGTCTTTATAACTAAGGCACAAATGGCTACGATAACACTATCAATCAATAGATATTTGAAGGCCTACCAACAGTAGGCGGGTGACAGCAAAAAGTCTTCCATTCATTCCCTTTGATCATAACAGCTAGGCCAAAACGGCAGTTCTAGAAAGAGCAAAAACCAAGTTCACAGGTCACAGCAAAGGAAAAGGGGAGAATTGAAGGAGTAATGCACATGGCTCAGATAACAAATAGCATTAATTGAAGTCCTACCAACTGGTGGCGACATAAGCATAATCTTCCATTCATTCCCTTCACTGGTATAAAGTTTTGCCAAAGTGAGAGTTTATCTCACAACAATCCAGTAGTTTAACAGTTTCTTAAGCTATCTAACAATGATAATCAACCATCTCATCTTAACTGTTAACAACCTCATTGTGACTTCACAGATGTAATCCTACATCCAGGTAGAACAGTCTATCTCCAGATTTTAAAACAACCCCCCCCCCCCACGGCGTTCCTCCAAACTTGAGTTTTAGATACATCATTTTGATTGTGTATTAATCCATACCAAAGTAAGAACCAAAACGTTGTCCATTTCAATGTAGCTTAAATCACATGGGTCAAAAGAAGGTGCTATGCCCCACCATTATTCTGAGCACACTAGGTATTGTTGCGCGTAAAGCTAGCAGCTAAAAAACTCAGAGACTTGTCTATCCTAATATAAAACATGTACAGTAGTCTCCGCCTAAGATCCCGGTGCTCGGGAGCAAGGAAAAGCGGGATCTTAGGCGAACCGGGATCTTAGCCGACGAACCCAGGGAAGAATCTATGGTGACCCATGTTAAGGCTTACAATCGGTAAAATGTCTCCCTCCACTCTAAAATGAACTGACGTGACCGCTTGGTGGGTTTATGACGTATGGCGAGCAAAGAGTGGTTAACCTTGATGACCTATCACAGTGTATAGTGGGATGAGGCGTGCCATTTTCACTTATTATCCTATCATGAGGCTCAAGATCTACGCTTATCAAGTTGCCCCTCCCCTCACCCTTACCTGTCGAAAATTTATAGCTTTCCATCTCCCCCAACCGCCTTTGTCGTTACACACCATTACGTTGTGAACACACTAATTAAAATTCAGTCTGTCTCGCAAATTCGGGAGTAGAGAGAACTTCTGCAATGGTCAGGGAAGAGTTCACAGTTCAATGTGATCCCGCCTGGAGCAAACGTGTAGGCCCTACCCACCCAGGGAGTGATGTAAGTTTAGGGGGATAGCTCAGGTGTGAGTGTGATGTTCGGGGAAAACAAACGTGTCGGTCAGTTCACACCCCGGTGTGATACCGTCTGGGGCAAACATTGTATCGCTTCATCGAGTTTTACAACGTGTATGTGATCACATTCACGATAGTAGCTGATCTTTGACGCGATGGAATTTTCAAATTTTCACTCTTGGTTGATCGGCTGCCTCGCCCGCGGTTTTTTCCGCAAATTATGATCCGAAATGCGGGATCTTAGCCGAATGTAGACCTTCAGAGTAAATCAGAGCGGGATCCTAGGGGTGACTTTTGTATAGTAAAAATTCTGTTTTCTGAAAACAGCGGGATCTTATGCGAACCGGGATCGTAAGCGGTGGGATCTTAGGCGGAGACTACAGTACAAGGAAAGGCACACTAGTTGTATATAAAGCATGGGCAATCTACAGCCAACAGGCCAGACCCAATTTGAGAGCAATCAAGTAATTAATAATGAATGTGGCTTGGAGTGATCAGTTGATAATTTAAAAAAGTAAAACTATCTGTCTTGAAAGCAATAGATCTAATATTGTATCTCATGAAATGAGATTTTTTAAAAGTGTATCATGAAATGCTCTTGAGGGACATAATTATGTAATTGTGTCAGTTTTAGTCTTATTTTCAGCGCTTAGGCATTTCAATCGATTTCACCCAATTTCATCCTGCTTTGGCCCATGAGACATTCCAAATCACTTTATCTGGCCTGGGACTTGGACACACTTGCCCATGCCTACTCTATAAAATAATATCTTTTTGACCTTACATCAAAGAATCAACATGTACTGTATGCTTCCCGGGCGACTGAGAATGTTTCCAAGTGTTCTGGGGTCTGCTGGGGTAATAATGTAGATTGTAAAGCACATAAAGCTTGCAGTTGAGCGGGAACATTTGCTATACAAATGCTTTTTACTATTTTTTACTATCATTATTACTACTATAACACAAAAATAAAGAAAACCCTTTATCTCTCCAGTGTCACTCCTTAAATCAAAGACTCTTGGATAGACCAGTGACATAAAGTACACTTTATGGTGAGCCGTTTTCTCACAATAGTCAACTATCTCAAACTCAAAAAGACAGTTTGTGTTTCAATGATCAACCTCACTCACAATGGCACAAGTTTTCACAAGTCTACTGCATCACATTCAAAGACCTGCAAGTTGATCTCACAGCTTACTTTCTCGCAACAATCTCACAATTATCTCAAGGCCTCCTTTATAATATAATGAGCAATGAGGAACCTGAAAACCGACCAAGGACCATTTACTGTCAGAGGAACAACATTTTCTCACATCAACAGTTGTAAACAAAACCTACACCAGGAAAGACATCATAGAGGAATGTTACAAAAGGGAATGTCTTTATGGAACCAGTTAACAAGTAGAAGTAACTGGAATGTCTATCAAGCAAGATACTTATGTTACAAGCAGAGGAGGAAGCACGCCACCGTGGTTCTTTAACACTCTAGTTCTAGCCACAACCACAGAAAAATTGTTCGACAAGATTGTATTCATTTTCTTTTTCACACAGTTTAACAAAAAATCTTTTTTAAAAACGAAAAAAAAAAGCAACACCAAAAAAAACACAGGCTGTATAGGTAAGAACATAACTTTAGCACTAATATTTAGTAAATTTAGAAAAATTTGTAATCTCCAGGATCATGAAGAAACACAAAAAGAGTATACCAATTGATATGACGAAAACACAATATTCTACAAAGCTGAGACCTCACATTATGTGTTCTTTAATATCAGCTTGCTGAAATTTTTTTAATGATCCTCTATGGTCGTTCTGTCTGGAATATCAATAAAAACCGCTCAAGTGTAGGAAAAATTGTGATTTTTTCAATTTCATTATTTTGATGAACACCTTATTTCACCATGGTGCCACACTACATAAAAATTCATTTTAAAAAAATTATTTACAATTTAATCTGGATAAAAAAAGATGCATTTTCAACGAGTCTAGTAGGTCGGGATCTATTCATGGGCTGGGTTATTGTGTATTTCAAAGCTTTTGAGATTGATCCAAGTTTCAATTCCATTGCATCCTCCTTGTCACTGCATCTTAAAATGCGCTATCTCTAGGTCATTCTAATCAATAAAAAACTCAAAGAATGAAAAATGACTTTCTTTTTACTTAATAGCCTCGTTTCAATCATTTCTGACCAGACCTCCTGCCTAAACCGAAAGGTAAAGCATTTTAGCGATAAAATCGGGAGAGCATGTTCGACAGTGTGAGGTGACTGCAGGGGTTTGCCAATATCGGTGGCTCATGGCGACTCCACAGGTGAAAGGGTTAAAAAGTCTGTACTTTATAAGACTATTACATAAAATGATAGCGAGGCAAATAGGCTCGTTATTTCACTTTGATTAAATTGTAACAAGAGCCCATTCTGTTACCAGTGAGCACTGTCGCATGTTGCTGCTTTGTGTCCCGAGCGTTGGAGTGCTCATCACACTGCACTGTCTGATGGAGCGTAATTGCTGCCCTGGTAGAGCTTGTAGGCACCAGATGAGTCAGGGTACGCGGAGCTGATCGTAGAGTTCGGGTCTGGAAATCGCTGCCCCGAAGTGTAGGAAGGAGGGGCGTACACCACTTGAGGGGGTCGGCCGTACGCTGAGCTGAGCACTGATTCTGTTTCTGCAACTGAATCCCCCTGATGGCGAAGTCGTTGCTTCTCCCCATCTGTCATGGCTACCAGTTGGTCCCACTTGGATTTTGTTGGCTTGGGGGCCACAGGGGGGCGCCGACTCTGAGCAGGGGGAGCAGGCTGACCATAGGCCCCACCGACAACAACAGGAGCGACGGGGACGTAGGGGGCGCCAGGTGTTGGGTACGCCATTGGGTAACCAGGCGGGTACATAGCTGGAGGATAACCCTGGTGGCTGCCTGGTAAAACTGATGAAGGAGCCACACTAGATGCAACGCCAGACTTGTCATCATCAAAGTCATCAGCAGAGTCTGAAAGGTCAACACTAGCTGTGCCCTGAGACCGGCGTGGCCTTGGCCGCGGCTTTGAGCGTGAGCTCTTGCTACGTCTGTCGTCTTCGTCATCGGAAATATCCCGGGACTTGGATCGATGTTTCCTCCTTCGGCCATCAAGTTCATCATCGCTGTAATCTCTGTCCCGCGACTTGGACCTGCCCCGCCTTCTCCCATAGTCACTCTCTTCATCATCATCATAGCCTCTGGATCGTGACCGCTTCTCTCGGCGTAAACTCTCCTGGCTCTTACTACGGGACTTCAGTTTTTGATTTGACTTCGTCGACCGCCCAGATTTAGCAGAGCCCACAGAGTCTCTGCGCTCCCGTCCTGACCCAGTCTGGGTGCCTCTGCTGTATCGTTTGCCTGGCCTCTCTTTGGCAAGGGTCTTCTTGCCATAGACGTAAACCGCCCTCTCACTCCCGGTCTGAGTAGCACAGTCACGAACAATCTGGGCAGATGCTGGCCTCATCTCAAGGTCACCCGTAGACCTGAAACAATCAGAATAGGATAAAAATAGCATGCATAATCTATTAACAGTAATGTCTGAATCTAGGAAAAACAATACAAAAAGCCAAAGAATGTACTTCGTATAATGTCACTTTACTTCTCCAATCTAGCAGCCATCTGAGTTCTAGCCCTTCAGCCTGTTTGCCTAATGTTAAACATTGTCTGCAAAGTAATGATATTGCCTTGTACCCATCTGAAATTACCCTTAGGATATCACCGTGATTAAAAGAATTCACATTCCTTTACAGCAAAACCAGAAATAATCATGTTCTTGATGTAACTTACAAATACTAAAGACTTAACCCTATCCGTACGTCGTGTTTTACCATCGTATCCATACGACGTGGGGCACTCTGTGCCATCACTTTCCAAAGAGGAAATTTACTCGTTAATCTGATCCGTACGTTTGCATAGCAGTCTGTCAAAATGATTTTTTGAGAAACACTGAAAGTTTCAAAGAGATCTTCATACTAAAAGTATTCTAAAATGTGAAGAATACAACCCTGGAGGTACAAAATGACCCCAAGGCGTATGGATAGGGTTAGTCAGAAACCTATAGATTGATTCAGGTAAATAATTAGCTTGAAATGCAAAGAGACACACAATATCATCAGAGTAGCCATGAGTCATTCAAACGGACACAGTAAATTGGGATGAACTAAAGAGCCCGGGGCGTCATTGTTAAGTCAATTGAGATTGAGATTTCTACTGGAGGGCACACAAGACTGTCAGTTATTACCGGCCTAGCCCTTGAAGATGACATGTCTGTCATACACGACAACAAGCCAAGTCATGGGTGACAACTTAACTGTCTAGCACATATGTGAGGCATCGTGGTGAAATCAGGCGCTCGTCAAAATAATGAAATCGAAGAAATCTGCATTTTCGGGCAGTTGGGAATTTTTTAAACGATTTTTGTTTTTTAGCTCAACACCTTGTGTATGTCCATTCAAAATCATTTTTATATGTGGATTCTTTGGAAAAACGTTGATTTAAGGCACGAAAAATGTAAATTTGCAGTTCTCAAGGACTCTTGAGCTATGGAAGTCACCAAACTTTTAGTTTTAGTAAGAGTTTTACGGCCCTTGCAACAGAATAAGGTCATACAAGTGCCGAAGATTAGAGACACCACAGCACCTACCAACCACCCACAGTCACCAAACTTTGAGCGGCCATTTTCTCGCTAATTTGGCTTCTGAAACCAGGTAACCCCACCTCCTTCAATCGCAAATATCTCGACTTCTGTTCAAGATATATGGATATTTTTTTCATAAAATGCAAGGCAAATAAACAACCTTTAAGATGATACCTATAACTCCATATACCCAAAAATTGATGAGTGCCTGATTCCACCGCATTATGACACATATATATCCAGTACATCAATACATGTGTCCAACCGAAGTTTCATGGATTTCATTTACATACAGTCTAGCACGTACATAGCCAACACGTTCATAACTTTTTTAAAAATGCGCATAGAGTACAGATTTTCAGGTCCCCAATTTTTTCTTATACATCTTATATTTAGCATGAAATTTGTACATAACAAAAAGATTTCAGCATCCTGATTACAGGAACATAAGCGGCTTCTGTTACGATGTTAGGGATACAAATGGAATTCTTTGGAATTTACAATAGTCCTGTTATTGAAGACTGCATATGGCTGAGAAAAATTAAGCATATTGAAACAATAACAGCGAAGTACTGCAAGGAACAAACAAGAAAGACATGCAGAAACAACAGAGGGAACGAAAAGGAGTAGGGGCTACCAATGGCAGCCTACAGCCATGTGAAGACCTGTTGACATCCTAGACTTGGCCGGCTACACACGTACTTGGGACGTATTTCTTCTCATTTCAGTCTTAACAACAACAGCAATAAATTAATCCTGATCTTGCCCTACCTGAACATCTTCTCCTTGTCCCGATGAGACATACGAACTCTGTCAAAGTCACCCATCCTTGAGTCCATGTCATCATGAGCATAAGAGGACATAGACATAGTCTCTCCCATTGAGTTCTTCCTCCGACGGCCGTACAAAGAGGAGCGCGAGGCGTACAGGGAGGTCTTGGAGCCAGCACGGCGGAAAGCTAAGGGTAAAAAAAAAATGGAAAGAGTATTAATGGTACAATAGAAAGCAAACGGAAAAATATTGATTGGTCAGAGAGAGAGAGAGAGAGAGAGAGAGAGAGAGAGAGTGTGAGAGAGAGAGAGAGAGAGAAAGAGACACACAAAGAGACAGAGAGACCGAGAGAGAGTGACAGAGAGACTGATAGAAAGGCAAAGAATGTAATGTATTGATATGGTGTAATGTTTGTGTAAATATAACTAAAAAAATAAATAAATAATCATAATAATACATTTATATGGCACACATCCATGCTCCACAGTATGTTCTATGCATTTAATTACCATTATTACCAAGGGGATGCTCGCAGATATGACTGTTTCCAACCCCCCCCCCCCCCCCCCATTCCTAAATCAAAGAGAGGAAGGGGTTGTTTTTTTGCTTGTTTGTTTGTTTTGTTTTGTTTTGTTTTTGTGGGGTGGGGGGGGGGGGGGGGGGTTGGTCTATATTCATTCATTGTGTCCTCAAGTTATTTTCTATGAGACAAAAAAAAAAGTACATTCAATATTTAGCAGTCCTAAATTAAAACATTTACTCACGCATGTAGTTGCTGTCCAAATCTTCATCTTCATCATCATCTTCTATAAAGTTGAGAGAGCGCACGCTGCTCGGTGACTTGGAGCGAGATCGTTGATAGTTTGACTCCATTTCTTCTAGGGCATTTCCAGTACTTCTCGATCGACCCATTCGTGTGCCTTTACCTTTGGACCTGCGACCGCTGGCAGACTTTTTAAACCTTCCTTCATACTCCTTTTTATCTTCTTCTCTTTCTCTATCACGTTTCCTCCTCCTCCTTTCTTCCTCATCATCCTCCTCCTCTTGACGCCTCCTCTCCTCTTCTTTCCTTTTCTTCTCCTGCTTCTTTCTCCTGCGTTCTTCCTCTTCTTGTTCTTCTTCTTCCTCTTGTCTCCTTCTTCTTGCTCTCTCTTCATCTCTTCTGTCTCTCTCTCTCCTTTCTCTTCTACGTTCTTCCTCACTTTCATCCTCCATTTGCCGGTCTCTTCTTTTTTCTTCACGAGGTCTCCTCTCATCCCCTCTGTTTGGCCTCAGAGTGTGCCTTGTGTCAGCTTTCTTTTCTCTGTCCTCCCGATCAGGAGTTCTTTCGTCCCTCGACCTGGGGCTATCACCCATCACTTCCGTCTCCCCGTCCACACGAGCAACCTCAGAGGAAGACGAGGATGGGCGAGCGCGGAAAATTCCTGCAATTTTCTCACCTCGACGCTGGGGGCTAGGTGAGCGTGGGGGTGACTTTGGAACAGGAGGCAACTTAGGTGGTTTGGGCACCCCTGTTGAATCAACGGATCCAGAGGAACGACTATCTTCATTGCTGCCAGACACACGCCTCACACGGTCTTCTGCCGCAGCCTCATTCTCATGGAAAGATCTACGGAACTTAGGGTTTTTATGGAGGGCTTCCAAAAGTGGGGGCATTCGTGTCTCCTGGTTACCTTCCCTACTCGACTCTGGCTCAGGCCTTCGAACATCGTCATTACGTCGGCGGCCAAAACCCCTCACCTCATAGTCATCTCTCCTTGGATCATAGTCACTGTCACTATAATCATCTCGTCTCCTCCCAAACTCCCGCTCCTGGTACATTCTATTCTCTCTGGGCCTCACTTCCTGTTCCTCGTAGTCGCTATTATGTTCCTCACCTCTACCCCTCTCAACATCATCGTAGTCTCTCTTGTTATTCAGCTGACGTCGCCTCTGGGAAGGCGAAGGCCCAAATCGATCTAACGCTGTCATCTGCTGCCTGTCAACCAGTAGCTTTTTATCTGATGACGGGGAATCATTCGCTGAAGTATTGAGCCTGCCGTTTTGAACACCTTTGTTGTCATACCCAATACTAGTATTTAAAGACTCTTTTGTGAGATCTTGTTTCAGCTCGTTTCGCGATCGATCTCTGGCCAGGTTTTCTCGGCGCCTTCGCCTGCAGCAGACACAGATAACAGCCAAAATAATGAGTAGAACGATGACCCCGGCTACAATTCCTGCAATCATGCCCGCATCTGCAGAGCTTGATCCACCAGCACCACCAGCTTCGTCTATAGCTGTCAAAGGAAAAGAAAAAGAAGACATCAGTCTCAGGTCACGCCTCTTTTTTTTCTGTTTTGGTAAGTGTTTTATGGCGCTTGCAACTGCATAAGGTGATATGAGAGCACAGGACACATTAAACATTTTCAGTTTCGAAGGAATTAATTTTGAATTTTGCCTGGGTGGCGGCCAAAGCCTACCCTATCGATTTTGGACCACCCAGGGACCTTTAACGTGAGCAACTTGCACATAGGACCTGACCACGCCTCTGAACTGCAATTAATAATATTTATTCTTATCTCTAAAAACAGATTCATTTTTTAAAAGTAAAATAAATTATACTATTTTGCGGAGAAAAAGTTAAACGGACAAACATTTTTTTTGTTAATGTAAGGAATGGATTGGGTGGGGAGGCTTTGGACGAGGGGTGTCAATACATCAATTTGTGGGGCATGTTGGCACAGACACTGTTCAGTACAGTACTGCCGTAAGCTGACAAAACGCCTTTTTTTCAGTTTGGTGCAAAAAAATTTTTTGTGCTAAATCAATAGTCTGACCTGTTACCCTACTTGTGTGAAAAAAATCAAAGCGAAACTGAGACTAGTTTTTGAATAAATTAACATTCAAATTTCGGAAGAACGCCTTTTTAAAAATGATTACGCTGATAAAATGCCTTTTTTTAAGAGTAAGCTGACAGAACGCCTTTTTTTTCACCACGGCTTTGGAGAAAAGGCGTTCTGTCTGCAAACTCTGTTCAAGGAAAAAGCCGACAAAACGCCTTTTTATTGTCTTGTTCCAACTCTGTAACAGCGATTATCATCTTGAGTATGATCTCCCCGCGCCCCCCCCCTCCCTTCCCCCA